GAGCTTCCAATCTATCGCACGCTTCTGGCGGGGGAACGTCGGGCTGAATCCTTAGGTACGCATCCCAATCCCGAAGCTGGTTGGCGCAATCGCGAAGGGCGCGCCCCCGCTCAATGCTGTCGCCGTAGCGCGGCAACAAGTCCCCGACGACCCAAGAGAATAGGCCAATGCTCTCTGCCCCTTTCGCCTTCAGCAACGGTCTGTGCCTCTCGCCAATCATTGCGACCCGAAGGCCGTCGATCTCAGAGAGTTTGCGCCCGTTGTTCCTCTCTCGCTCGTTAGAACTATTTAGCAAGACCTCTAGCTTGCCCAAGACGAGCTGCCCCCTCGTCGACTGGTCAACGTTCCCCTGCACGAAGATGTCAGAATCTATTAGGCGCCAAATCGCACACAACACAATCCCCCGCATCACTCCGAGCGCAATGGTGTGCAACAAATCACACGCATACGCATTCGCTAGGGGCGCGCCTGTGGCAGGGTCATGCACTAGTGGGTTTCGGCTCGTAGTGAGAGTTTCTGCACTAGGTCTCCAGAAAACAAGCCACGTTTGAGTTTTCAACGTAGGATATGCGTGAACGTCCTGTAGCGCATCTTGCGGGGGGGGCCGATCGTGTTTCAACGGCGGTTCGCTCAGGTGGCCGAGCGCGGCCACGTCCCTGAAGACCGCCAGCCCTTTTCCAGCCAAGTGTTTTCTGCCTTTCAAGTTTTTGTTGAAATAGAGCCCCGCCCTCTCGAACAGTAGGTCCCACCCGCCCCCTGTCGTTCCGAACTCGGACCCACGCCTCGCAAGCCTTCGTCGCATTCTCGTGGGCGTCCGAGGGGTGGTCCAACCACGGCAGCTCCAGGGAGCGCAAGTGCCTGGGTGAGCTGACTTTCCTGTCGGCGCGCCCCTCACTCGCTCCGTGGCCCCGCTGGGGAGGCCCGCCGACGCCCGCTCCACCCCCTGCTTTCGGCGCGCCCCTCACTCGAATCGCTCCGCGGCCCCGCTGGGGAGGCCCACGGAAGCCCCCCCAGGGCCTCCCGCGTGCAGCCCCACGAGGGCGCAGCGGCGACGCCAGAACGGGCGTTCGGAGCGGGCAGCCCCAGTGCCCCTTCCACCCCCCCGCCCTCGATTCACCCCTCCCGCCCAGCGGGGCGCTCCCCTCAGGACACGACCAGCGACAACTTCCTGCAGACCATCGTCTTCGACGACCTCGATGATGCGTCGTCGAGGATTCCCGCCGCCTCCTCCTCCTGGCCCTCGTCGTCGCCGTCGGCCCGTCGACGGCGTGGCGGCGGCGGCGGCGGCGGTCGTCGTTGTCGTCGGGGGTCGGCGTCATCGTCGTCGTCGCCGTCGTCGTCCTTGTCGTCGTCGTTGTCGTCGTCGTCGTCGTTGCATGGGGGTCGCAGTTGGGGGTCACCGTCGGGGGCCGCCTCTGGGGGTCGCCGTCATCCTCCGATCTCTCTGCCCCGGCGCCTGAAGATATACATGGTATCAGACGTCGCCGAACACACTGGACAGGGGTGCAACTTGGTCGACCAAGTAGGCGTGCACAGGTAAGCAGCGATCGCCTCCCAGTCGGCGAGGAGCCAACAGACGGTACCCTTGAATCCAAGTGGCCCCCCAGCACGAGTTTGGCGATGCTCGTCGAGCTCCCCCCCCAGGTCCCTTAATCGGAAAAACTCCGTCACGCAGGGCGACGACGCTCCACGCCACGTACTTGAACAGCCTGTAAAACGAACAGAAACCGCGACACCCACATTTGCACTGACATTGTTTTCTGAAAATCATTCCCATACGTCTACTTCCCGTCACCATATTGATGAGCGAGAACACAACGAACGATCGGGTTCTGTCCGCGGCAGAGGTGCCGCCGTATCTTCCAGCGTCAACGAATAACCCCAGCGGTATCACGAGCTCGTCATCCCTGGCAGATGCACATATGGGGTTCTCCGTGTATGCAGGCGGCCACTCTCGACGCTCCAGCTCGTCTCGCATGACGTCCAGCGACGACATGTTCCTGTGGACCTCCGCGTGCAGCAGCTCGTGAAAAAGGCGGGTCGGGAGTTTCATTGTGACTCGTGTCTGTTGCCAGCCTGGAACATATCCCTATCCCTATGCTGGGCGCCTCCTCATTACGATGCCAATCCCAAGGGTCCCATTATTATTTGAAGGCGAACCCCTAAGATTAGCATCGCCTTTTGGCGCGTAAATCTTAGGGGTGGGGATAAGTTCGAGGCTGGCATGTCTTAGCCGACCGCGTCTGTCCAGGCACATCGCACATCATCATGGGGACTTTCTGGATGCCGCGAGCGTCCGCTGCATCTTGCACATGTCGCTGGCGCTGTCCAGAGGAGGGTCGATCTGGTCTGACTCCCCAATCGCCGACCCCCCCCTCCGCGCCTGCAGCCGACGCAAGGTGAGCTATCTCGCAGAGAGATGTTGCAGTCATCTGGCCAGTGCTGTATAAAGACAACACCTCCCGTTCCAAGCGTTCACCCGCCTCGGCCCGCCGTTGGGCGCGCTCATCCTCGGTCTCAGGGAACGCGCGTGTTCTCTTGCGTGGGGGCATGTTGAACTTCCGAGCCCGATCTGCCATAGCTATGGTCGGAATCCCCCTCCCCCCCCCCCCCCCCCCTCCCCCCCCCCCATCCCCTCACGCCCCCCCCCCCCCGCCCCGCCTCTTCTCCCGACGACGCCGCCCGCAGGACGAGAGCCGCTCGGGCCCATCGAGAAGGCCGGGTCGAGGGCCTTGGGGGGGGGGGGGGGGGCAGAGGGAGGGGGGGGCGAGCGGGGAATGGGGATAAGGAGAAGAATCGGAATCGCTATGCCAGATCACTCCCCGCGGGGCCGATGGGTCGTGGATGGGTTGCGGGTGGGTTGCGCGCGCGGCGCGGCCCTGGACCGTCCTGGGGCCATCTTGGGCCATCCATCCCCAGGAGGGCCGCTGGGGGGCTCCGAGAGGGTTCGGGGCGTATAACAATCGCTTCGAGTTATACACGCCACGGGGGGCTTCGTGGTGGCATCTCGGGACCCTCTTGGGGCCCCATCGCGGCCCTCCAACGGCCCTGGCGAGGGTGCAGGAAGGGCCGGGAGGGCTCCGAGAGGCCACCCCAGTGGGTGCATAACAAGAGCCTCGAGTTATATACGCCGCGGGGCTCTCGGTGGCCTCTTGGGACCCTCTCGGGGGCTGCTTGGAGCCGTCTCGGGGCCCTCCTGGAGCCCCCCGAGGGCGCTGGGGAGGGCCCGCGAGGGTCTCAAGGGGGCACCAAGACTGCTCCAAAGGGTGCATGACAAGAGCCTCGAGTTATATACGCCACGGGGGAGCTCTCGGGGGCCTCTTGGGACTCTCTAGGTGGCAGCTTGGAGCAGTCTCGGGGGCCCCGCGGGGCCCTCCGAGGGCGCCCGGGAGGGCTCCGAGGAGCCATGTCGGTGCCATTTCAGGCCAGCTTGGGCTATGTTGGGGCAATCGCGGGGCCAATTGGCTACGGGGGGGAGGGCGGGGAGGAGAGAGATGGAGGCGGGGAAGAGGAGGAGGAGGGGCACCAATATTACAGCTCAGAGAACCCCCAAATATTTGCAACAATAACAGGATCAGTTGACCTCGGCGGTCTTCAGCGGTCGTCGGCGGACCGATGAGTTACCTTTTCGGTATATATATATATATATATATGGTTTTGATCGCTGAACTCACCGGCGCTCAGCGGTCATCGCCGGTGCACCAGGGGGGGCGGGTTCCAGGGGCGTCGATCCTTTATTCTTATTATTATTATTATTATATATTATTATTATTAATAATATTTTTAGTATTATTATCTATTTTATTTTATGTTTCAGACTGTTGTCTGATGCCTGCGAAAGCAGGCGGTGTGCTTCGAGCGCCGCTGCTCGCAGCGGGCTGAACGCGGCGCCATGCCATGCAGCCCCTGCATGGCGCCGCCACCCAGGCTCAGGAGGGCCAGGCTAGCCCCTCGAGCGCTCCCCCGCGCGAGACGGAGCCTGCTCGAGCTTCCTCTTGCCGCCGCCCAGCTCCTCGCGCCCCCTGTTGATGCTCCTGGACTTCTCCTCCAGCTTCTCCTTGATGTCCTGCGTTCTCCTCCTCGATCATCCTCCTCCTCCCCCGCGCCCTCCGCCTCCCTCAGCTTTAACCGTAGACTGCCCCTCCCCCTCGTCGGGATCACGAGGAGGAGGATTGGGGGGGGGGGGGGGGGAGGAGGGCGGGGTGGGGTGGGGTGGGGGGGGGGGAGGAGAGGAGGAGGAGGAGGAGGAGGAGGAGGAGGAGGAGGGGGGAGGAGGAGGAGGAGGGGAGGAGGAGGAGAGGAGGAGGAGGAGGAGGAGGAGGAGGAGGAGGAGGAGGGGGAGGAGGGGAGGAGGAGGAGGAGGAGGAGGAGGGGATGGGGGGAGGAGGAGGAGAAGGAGGAGAGGAGGAGGAGGAGGCGGAAGAGGAGGGGGGGGAGGAGGAGGAGGAGGAGGAGGGAGGATCCTGAGTGGGAGGCCCCGAGGTGCCATAATCCCAGCCCCAGGCGTCCTTCGTCTTCTGCAGGGCCGCGGCCTGCGTGATGATCTCCGACGCGTCGAGCGCCTTCGCCACCTGGCGATGGGGGCTGGGTCGTCGCCGTCGTCGTCGCCTTCGCCTGCCTGCCTCTTCCTCGCCCTCCTCCTCCCCCTCCCCCATCCTCCTCCTCCTTCCTCCTCCTCCTCCTACCTCCCCCACCTCCTCCGCCTCTCTCAGCCTCAACCGTGACCCCCCCCACCCCCCCCTCCCCCACCCCACCCCCCCCCCGAGGAGGGGGGGGGGGGGGGGGGGGGGGGGAAGGAGGAGGAGGAGGAGGAGAAAGGGGAGGAGGAGGAGAGAGGAGGAAGAGGAGGAGGAGGAGGAGGGACCCTGAGGGCGAGGTCCCGAGGGGCCATTGCCCCAGCCCCAGGCGCCCTCCTCGTCGGGGGGGAGGAGGAGGAGGAGGAGAGGAGGAGGAGGAGGAGGAGGAGGAGGAGGAGGAGGAGGAGGAGGAGGAGGTAACACCTCAGGGATCCCCGTGCCGCGCATCAGCAGGTCCGCGAGCTCCATGCCGCGCAGCGCTGCGTCGAGTTTATCGAGCAACTTCGACAGGCCGCCTCTGGTCTGCTCCGTCCTCGCCCATGTCCAGTCATCGTCCTCGTCGATGGACTTGAGGATCGCCTTCGCGTTCGTCTGTTTCTCCTTGATGTCTTCGACCAGCTTGGCTGCGTTCTGCAGCGCCTCCTGGCTCTCACTCCTCGGCTTCGGCACTGGCCGCGCGCGAGCGTCAGGCGTGGGCGGCGCAGAGGCTGCAGCCGCAGGAGCTGAAGGACTCGTCGTCTGCTGCTTCGTCAAGGCCCACTTCTCCCTGAAGGGCGCCTTGTACTTCTGCTGGAAGTGCATGTATTTCATGATGCCCGTGCGCTCGTCCAGGCGCGCATGCGGCCAGCCCAAATCCAGGCACTGAGGGCATGCCTGCGCGCGCCCCGCGATCGTCTCGGGATCGCTCTGGCCCGCTGGGCCCTCCCTCCTCGTACAGCACCCTCAAGAACGTGACGGGCTTCCTCCTGCTGAGGAACTCGTCCTCGGTCTCCTGGATCATCGTCTTGGACTCCTGGATGAGACCCTTGATCTGCTTCTCCGCCCATTCCTTCTTCAGCGAATCCTTCTGCGACGCGAGGTCCCACCTCTTCTTGAACTCCTTCTGCTGCTCAGTCTGGGGGGGCCTGCAGTTCACGCTGGAGGCGGTTGCCAAGCGCGGACCTCATGTCGAAGTGCTCCGTGTAGCCGCTGTCCATGTACGCCTTCAGGGCATCGTCCCCTACTTTGTGGCGCGCACCTGTCCGCCTCCAGTCCTTCGCCGCCGCGTCGGCCAGTCCTGAGGGAGGGCCCAGCAGCCTCGACTTGTCCGACATGTCGACCATCTTCTGCAAGCCCTGAATCGCCTTGGTGAACTTGTCGGGGGTGGATTCCACGGCATCCTTCGGCTGGCCGCCAACGGGCGTGAACGGCGTCGAAGGCGCACCAGCCCCTGCCGCCATCGCCCCCGCTCGAGGAAACTCGCCCTCGGAGCCCGTCACCGCACTCAGCCTCGCGCCCGCCGCGGACAGCTTGGCGCGCGCCTCGGCCAGGGCGTCGGGCGCGCCACTCGGCTGCGCGAAACCAGGGTGGCTGTCGACCAGGCTCGCGCTCTCCGTCGGGCTGTGCATGCCCTGGGCCAGTGCCAGCTGCGTCTCGCTTCGGCATCCGTCGAATGCAAGTTCGGTGGTGCTCCTCCTCGGTGGCCTCGTGCGCCCGAACTGCTCCGCCTCCTCTGCCCACTTCTCCGCCGCCTTGCGTTTCCCCTCGGCCTCCTCCCTGAGGGCGTCCGCGACGCCAGTCTGGCGTTCGCTCTCCGCCAAAGCAAGACGCTGCTGCTTGAGCTGCTCATCGAGGTACTTCTTCTCCTTCGCCCAGCCTTCCTTCGCCTGCGTTATCTCCATGTCGAGGTCGGCATTCACCTTCGCCGCCTCGGACTTCTGCTTGTCCAAATCGCTCTTGATCTTCGCCTTCTGCCCCTCAATCTCCCTCGCGTATGCGTCGAACGCGTCCTCCGCGGCCTTCTTCTTCGATGTAACCCATTCGCCGATGAGCCGAGACTCCTCCTTCCAATCTTCAATCTTCGCTTCTAGGTCGGCTTGCTCCTGAAGGGCCATGCTCTTCCTCTCCTGCTCGATATCGAACTGCTTCGTGAACTCCTCTGTCAAGTTGTTCAACGAGTTCTTGGCGTTCTCGACGTCTGCCTTGATCTCGTCCCTGACCTTAATCAGCTGCTGCGTCTCATCGAAGATCTTCTCTTTGGCTTTCACCCTTTCCCGAAGCGTCGCCTTGCGATCCTCTGGCAAATCTGCATCCTCGATCTCTGCTCTCTTCTTCTCCAGGATCATCTGCAGCTCGCTCTCGGCCTCTTGCTTTTCCTGCTCCAGTTTCTCCTTCTCCTGCTGGATATCCTGCTTCATCTTGATGATGCTCTTCGCATCCTCCTCCAGAGCGGCGAGCTCGTCGTGCTTCCTCTTGCGCGCAACCTCCAGGAGCTGGTGCTTTTCCACTAAGGTCACGCTGCCAGTCTCGGTGTCAGGCACTTCATCCCATAGTGTAGCTTCCTCCGCGGTCCCCTCGCGAAAGGCGTCGGCATCGACCTCCTCGCCGCTAGACTTGTCGACCTCGATCGCCGGGGCGAACCTCGCCTGCAAGTCTGCTGGCGCTGCCGTGAATCCCTGGAGCTCGGCGCGCCTCTCCGCCAACTCGGCGGCGCTCGCACCTGCGGGCTGGCAGAGGTTGCCGGACAGACCGCCTCGAGGCCACCCCCAACGCGGGGCCCTCTCGGGGCCTCGGGCCCATCGCGAAGCCTGAGCAATCGCTTTGTCAGAGAAAAAAAAAGGAGTTTCTGGGGGGAGGGTGAGGAGGTGCGATATCAGCGGTCATCAGCGGTCCTCAGCGGTCTCGGCTGACCACCGCTGAGTTCAACGCTCTCTTTGGCGGCACCAGCCTAGTCGCCGCTCGGACGGCGGGCGGACATCGGGCCTCTTTGATTCCCAGGGAACCCGAACCAGCGGGGGGCTCGACTTGAGAAGCCATTGCAGGCGCCGTGCCCGCCGTCAAGGCGGGGGGCGGATCTGGGAACAGTTCAACGCTCAAATGCCTGGGATCCCTGACACGGGCCACGGATTGAGTCAACGTGCCCTGATCGGGGGGGCCAGCGGAATGAATTGCGGGTCGAGGGGGTCAGGGGCAAAACATCATCACTGACTTGGTTCGCTTCTGGCGCCCCCCTCACCGCCACGGCTGGATTGGCATCGTATTTGAATCCAGAACGCGCTGGGCACTTGGGCCCCAATCCTCGTCACCCTCCCGATGCCTGGCATTTTTATTAACATGCATAGTCAAATGCACCTTCGAACTCGGCAAGGGCCTCGACGGGCCGCGAGGGGAATTTCTAAATTCGGAATGCCGCGGGGTCCAAGCCGAGATTTCCACGGATGTCTCATTTGGGCCTTCGGGGGCCCTCCTGCTGGACGCAGCTCGGCAGGGTGGTCAGGATCTAGACTGGGTATCGACGTCCCTCGATGTTTCTCCAATTGCTTGCATGTTCTCACATCCTTCACCGGGCGCGAGGCCCAAGGTCACGAGAGCATTCCTAGGCTACCTCCAGGGCCCTCCAGCTGCGGGTAGTCGGACTCCTCGGGGTCGTCCTTGGCGGCGGGCTCCTTGGCGACGATCGAGCTCCCGCCGCGCGGCCTTGGGGGCTGGGCGAGGCGAGGAGAGCCGATCGGGGTCGATGAGGTTGCTGGGGGGAAGGGGGTGAGGAGGCGGGATAAGAGGAGGAGGATGAGGAGGGGGATAAGGAGGGGGAATAGGAGGAGGAGGAGGAGGAGGAGGAGGAGGAGGAGGATGAGGAGAAGGAGGAGGACGGGGGGAGGAAGAGGAGGACCAGGAGGAGGAGGAGGATGAGGAGGATGAGGAGGAGGAGGAGGAGGAGGAGGAGGAGGGGAAGGAGGAAGAGGAGGAGGATACCGTTTTGGTTCTCTCTCGGGCCTTCCAAGGCCCCGTGGGGGTGGGGTGGGTGGGGGGAACTCGTGCGTTCAGGGTGTTGTGTATGGTGATTTTTGACCACCCCGAGCCTCTTCATCGCTGGCTCCTCTTCTTCCTCCTCTTCCTCCTCGTCCTGTTCTTCCTCCTCCTCCTCTGCTTCGCCCTCCTCCTCTGCCGCGCTCGGCTTCTTCGCCGCAGCCAGCCTTCTCCTGCAGGCGCCGTCGGGCTCGTCCATGTGGTCCACTTCCTCGTCCTCTTCGCGCTCCTCCTCTTCCTCTCCCTCCTCCGCGCCGCCTTCATCATCAGGTTCTTCTTCCTCCTCCTCCTCGGCTTCCTCTGCGCCCTCGTCGTCGCCTCGGCCATCTCCGCCGACGGCTGCAGCTGGTCTCTTTGCCGCGGGCTCGGCTGCAGCGCCAGGCCTTTTCAGGGCCGCTGCTGGTCTCTTCAGCAGGTTCATCCCGTTGAAGTCGTTGTCCAACTGCTTCTTCTTCGTCTTCGCCTCGTCCAGCGTGAGCACCCCGCTGCAGAGGTCCTGCGCGACCTGGGTCATCCACGCGATGCACCTGTCCCCTGGCAGCACCTTGTACGCCATCTGCAGCTTCTGCGACCCGTCGAACTTGATCACCATTCCTGGATTGTGCTCGTCAAGCTGCTTCTTGACCACCGTGACCCTCACGGTGCCGAACTTGCCCGTGAACAGCGGGCCACGCTCGCGATCTCTGCCGCCCGCGGCCGCCGCCGTCTGGCCGCTCCACGCGGCCGCTGTCAAGGTGTCCAGCTCGTGCTCGTAGCCGTCGTCCCAGCGCGCGAAGGCGAACGTGCAATTCGGCTTCGTGAAGATCTGGTCTGTGGGCTCGGGCGTACGCGAGCACCGATTCCACCTCAGGGCGAGCTTCTTGCCCTGGTCGCAGGCAACGTCCACTACGTCGGCCGCCGCGCCGCTGCTGCCAGGGGGTCGACTGCGATCGCTGCCGCCCGTGTCGCCATCCAAAAGCTTGCCCTGGAGTTCGCGCAGCTGCTTCAACCACTAGGGCCGCCGTCCGTGCTGCTGCTCAGCTTTGATCGGATCGTAGAGGTGCCTGCACATGCTCCGTAACCTGTCACGGAGCACAGCTCTGCGCCGTGCTGTCTCAAGATATTCTAAGCACCTCCATCCCTCCTTCCTCCTGCTCCTCCTCGCCTCGTATTCACCCTGTTCACCCTCCTCTGAGTTTCTCCATCGTATCTGCTCTCCTCCGTGTCTCCTCCTTCCTCCTGCTCCCCTCCGTTTCTCATCCCCCTCGTATTCCTCCTGTTCACCCTCCTCTGAGTTCTCCTGCCCCTCGACCTCCTCCTCCGTCTCTTCCGCCCGCCCCCCCTCGCCCTGCTGCCCCTGCCCCCCCGCCCCCCACCCCCGCCTCGGGACCCCTCATCCGAAGACGCCCGAGAGAGCCCTTGAGGGCCCGAGGAGGGCTCCAGCGAGCTCCAAAAAAATGCTCGAACTTTATCCCTCCCCCACCTCGTCCTCACCCTGGTTTACACCCTGAAACCTCTTCGCGTGTTCCTCGGACCAGCTCTCGATGGCCTCCGAGCTCATGGCGGTGAACTTGTCTTTGGCCACCGCCTCCAGCGCTCTCTTGGTCGGCTCCTGGTTGAAGCTCAGGTTGGGGCTCAGCGATTCCAAGTCCTTCAGGAGGTCTTCGTTGTCTAGAATGGTATGCTGGCACTTCTCGCAGAACCTGATCGTGTATACATGTATGTATGTATGTATATGTATATATATGTATATATATATATATATATATATATATATATATATATATATTTATAATTATACAAGTTGCACGTGTTGCGACCTGGCCCATCAAAAAAAACCGAAAGGGTTGCTTGAAGCAGGGAAGTGAAATGCACCCGCGTAGTCGCACTTCGAAGCGGGAAGTGGGGGTTTGCCACGCCTTGCGACGCGTGTATTCAGGGCTACCAGGAAGCCCAGAGAGGCCCGACATGGATGCAGAGAGGCTCCAAGAGGCCCAGGATTGTGATGTTGTGTGGGTGTTGTGGGGTGAAAATGTATGTATGTGGTGGTGCGTGCTTGTTGTGCGCTGTTAGGTGTTGTATGTGTTACAACTTGTTTAGCGTTGTTGCTGGTGTGCTGTGCGTGCATGTAGTTCTGAGGCCAAGGAGGCCCCAGGGGCCTCGCGCGGCATTCCGGAAGGCAACCAGGGGGCCCCAGGAGGCTCCAGGAGGCCCCAAGAGGCCTCAGGAGGCCGCAGGAGGCCCCAGGAGGTCTCAGGGGATCCCCAGGAGGCTCCGAGGCGGGGCCTGGGGCACCAGAAGGTTCAGAAAGCACCTGGAGGCCCCAGGAGTTTCCAGGAGGAGGCGGGGTCTGGGGTACCAGAGGGCACGTCGGGGCTCGATGTTGGGACGATGTTTCAGGCGAAACCGCCATTCGCTGAGAATCGGGGTCAACATGATTGAGATGATCATTTGGTGTTGCAGGTTCTATGTTAACGTGCTGAACTTCCCATGTTTTTTTTGTTTTGACATTGGCGTCGCGATCTGCGTGAGGGGCGCCGCCGATTTCCAGAATGTCTAAGATGCCCCTAGCGAAACGGCCAGAAACATCGCGGGCGCGGCGCCCCGCGCACGCATTAATCGCCTCTGAGCTCTACTCCCTCGGTCGAGAGGTGCGTATGATAATATATATATATATATATATATATATATATATATATATATGCAAACGTTGTGAGAGAGAGAGAGAGGCCATATACACACATATACACATATATATACGCATGGTTTCTCGCGTTCTCTCTCTCTCTCTCTCTCTCTCTCTCTCTCTCTCTTTCTATCTCCCGTTCGCATCGTCGTTTAACTTAAACTTGTAGTTCAAGTATATGCCCTCGGAACTTGTCCGAACCCGGCTTCGTGCCATATTTAATCCAAGATGGCTTGGACACGTGCCGACTCAGGACGTCCCGCAGCTGGTCGGTGTCCCCGAACCTCTGCCTGCTGCCGCCCCCGCTCTTCTCGGACCCGAGCGAGTCCGCCGCGCGGCCCGCGCGGGCCAGCGGGGGCCCTCGCGCCCTCAGCCGAGACCAGAACAAGCGGCCAACGGGAGGGCGGGGGAGCGGGCGGAGGCGACGGGGCGAGAGAAGAGGGGGGAACTCGGCACGGGGCAAAAGGGGAGAGGGCGAGGGAGCGGGGATCTCAACGCCCCCGCCGTGTTTTTTTTGTTTTTCTCAATGGTTTCCTAATTGTCATCGGGCCCTCTCGGGGCCTCGTTCCTTCGGCGGCGAACTTCCCGAACTTCAGTACAGACATTGTGCCGAGCCCGAGACGCAGCGCTACTATACTACTACTACTACTACTACTACTACTACTACTACTACTATTACTACTACTACTACTACTACTATTACTACTACTACTACTACTACTACTGCTACTACTACTACTACTACTACTACTACTAATAAGAATAATACTATATACAACTACTACTTCTACTACTACTACTACTACTACTACTACTACTACTACTACTACTACTAGTATTATTATACTACTACTACTACTACTGCTACTGCTACTACTACTACTACTACTACTACTACTGCTACTGCCACTGCCACTGCTACTGCTACTACGGCTACTACTACTACTGCTACTACTACTACTACTACTACTACTACTACTACTACTACTACTAGTACTACTACTACTACTACATGTTGCTGCTAGTGC